ATTAGAAAGTAAGTGCCCTGAGGGAAGGCATTTTGCTAGTTTTTCTCATCCATCTATTTCTAAAGCCAGGAACAGAGCACGGCGCAGAGTAGAGCTTTAAACACATATAATGACTGAATGAATGAATAAATGAGTGAAGGTTCCAACTGGGAAAAATAAAATCAGTGTTTGGTAATAGTCTTACTAAATTGAAATTTAAGTCCCTCCGTTTTATTATCTTTATAAAAATTGCCTTAGCTATTGTTGGGCTTCATTTTTCCATTCCAATTTTATGACTAATGTGTCAAGTTCCACATAGACTCATATTGGGATTTGGATTGGAAATTCACTGTATTTATATATTAATATGTGGTGAATATCCCCATTTATTCAGGTTTTCCTTTATGTCTTTCAATAATGTTTAGTAACTTTTAAAACTAAAGGGCATGTATGTATTTTCTTATATTCATTTTTGGGAACACTCATGGTTTACACACACACAGTGTATAGGACTTTTTCCTTTTGTGTTTTCTAATTATTGGTGTATAGGAATACATTCTTTTTTTTTTTTTTTTTACTTTATAAAAAAATTTTATTGAGTATAGTTGATTTACAGTGTTGTGTTAATTTCTGCTGTACAGCAGTGACTCAGTTTTACATATATATTCTTTTTCACATCCTTTTCTTTTATGGTTTATTACAGGATATTGAATATAGTTCCCAGTGCTATACAACAGGACCATGTTGTTTATCCATCCTATATATACCAGTTTGCATTTGCTAATCCCAAACTCCCAATCCTTCCCTCCCCCTCATCCCCTCCCCCTTGGCAACCACAAGTCTGTTCTCTATGTCTGTGAGTCTGTTTCTGTTTCATAGATATGTTCATTTGTGTCATATTTTACATTCCACATGTAAGTGCTATCATATGGTATTTGTCTTTCTCTTTCTGACTTACTTCACTTAGTATGATAACCTCTAGGTCCACCTGTGTTGCTGCAAATGGCATTGTTTCATTCTTTTTTATGGCTGAGTAATATTCCATTGTATATATATACCACATCTTCTTTATCCATTCATCTGTTGATGGACATTAGGTTGTTTCCATGTCTTGGCTATTGTAAATAGTGCTGCTATGAATATTGGGGTGCATATATCTTTTTGAATTTTAGTTTTGTCTGGGTATATGCCCAGGAGTGGGATTCCTGGATCATATGGCAACTCTATTTTTAGTTTTTGAGGAACCTCTATATTGTTTTCATAATGGCTGCACCAACTAACATTCCCAGCAACAGTGTAAGAGGATTCCCTTTTCTCCATACCCTCTCCAGCATTTGTTATTTACAGACTTTTTAATGATGGCCATTTTGGCCAGTGTGAGGTGGTACCTCATTGTAATTTCAATTTGCATTTCTCTAATAATTACTGATGTTTAGTATCTTTTCATGTGCCTATTGGCCATCTGTATATCTTCTTTGGAGAAATGTCTATTTAGGTCTTCTGACCATTTTTCAATTGGGTTGTTTGGTTTTTTGTTATTGAATTGCATGAGCTGTTTGTATATTTTGGAAATTAAGCCCATTATCGGTCACATGATTTGCAAATATTTTCTCCCAGTCCTTAGGCTGTCTTTTCATTTTGTTTATGGTTTCCTTTGCTGTGCAAAAGCTTATAAGTTTGATTAAATCCCATTTTTTAATTTTTGCTTTTATTTCTATTGCCTTGGGCAACTGACCTAAGAAAACATTGGTATGATTTATGTCAGAGAATGTTTTGCCTATGTTCTCTTCTAGGAGTTTTATGATGTCATGTCTTATATTTAAGCCTTTAAGCCATTTTGAGTTTATTTTTGTGTAGGATGTGAGGGGGTGTTCTAACTTTATTGATTTACATGGGGGTGTCCAACTTTTCCAACACCACTTGCTGAAGAGACTTTTTCCCATTGTATATTCTTGCCTCCTTAGTGGAAGATTAAGTGTCCATAGGTGTGCGGGTTTATTTCTGGGCTCTCTATTCTCTTCCATTGATCCATATGTATGTTTCTGTAACAATACCACACTGTTTGGATTACTGTAGCTTTGTAGTATTGTCTGAAGTCTGGGAGGATTATGCCTCCTGTTTTGTTCTTTTTCCTAGGAATTGCTTTGGCAATTCTGGGTCTTATCATGCTTCCACATAGTTTTTAGGATTATTTGTTCTAGTTCTGTGAAAAATGTCATGGGTAATTTGATAGGGATCCCATTAAATGGAATACTATTCATTTTTGTATGTTGATCTTCTATTTAAGAATTTTTTCAGTTGATTGCCTTGATTTGAGAAGGGGGTAAACAATCTTGTCATCTGAAAATGAGGACAGTTTTGTTTCTTTCTCTCTAAATCTTATCCTTCCTAAATGTTTTTATTTTATTGCATGGTTTTCTATCCACAAGACAGAGGCAGTGATAGCAGACATCCATGTCTTGTCCTGTATTTTATTTTATTTATTTATTTATTGATGAATCTCTTGGTTGTATTTGGCACATAAATATATATATATATATACACACACACACACAAACATGTATGTACTACTATGCACATGCAGAATTATAAATCACTATATCATTTGCCTGTAACTTATATAATATTGCACATTAACTATACTGCAATTAAAAAACTTTCCTCTTTAACAGTATTTTCCACTTTGTAACATGCTTTTGTGTATATTACTCATTTGAATTTGACAACAATCCTAAGAAGCAGGGAAAGGAATATTATTCTTTTTTTTTTTTAACTTTCTTTTTAACATCTTTATTGGAGTATAATTGCTTTACAATGGTGTGTTTGTTTCTGCTTTATAACAAAGTGAATCAGCTATGCATATACATATATCCCCATATCTCTTCCCTCTTGCATCTCCCTGCCTCCCACTCTCCCTATCCCACCCATCTAGGTGATCACAAAGCACTGAACTGATCTCCCTGTGCTATGCGGCTGCTTCCCACTAGCTATCTGTTTTACATTTCGTAGTGTATATATGTCCATGCTACTCTCTCGCTTTGTCCCAGCTTACCCTTCCCCCTCCCCATGTCCTCAAGTCCATTCTCTAGTAGGTCTGTGTCTTTATTCCTGTCTTGCCCCTAGGTTCTTCATGACCTTTTTTTTTTTTTTTTTTAGATTCCATATATATGTGTTAGCATACAGTATTTGTTTTTCGCTTTCTGACTTACTTCACTCTGTATGACAGACTCTAGGTCCATCCACCTCACTACAAATAACTCAATTTTGTTTCTTTTTATGGCTGAGTACTATTCCACTGTATATATGTGCCACATCTTCTTTATCCATTCACCTGTCGATGGACACTTAGGTTTCTTCCATGTCCTGGATATTGTAAACAGAGCTGCAATAAACATTGTGGTACATGACTCTTTTTGAATTATGGTTTTCTCGGGGTATATGCCCAGTAGTGGGATTGCTGGGTCGTATGGTAGTTCTATGTTTAGTTTTTTAAGGAACCTCCATACTGTTCTCCATAGTGGCTGTATCAATTTACATTCCCACCAACAGTGCAAGAGGGTTCCATTTCCTCCACACCCTCTCCACCACTTATTGCTTGTAGATTGTTTGATGATGGCCATTCTGACTGATGTGAGATTATATCTCATAATTTTGATTTACATTTCTCTACTCTATTTTAATACGTATGCTACTAGTATTATACTATTAGGTATGATGCTTGCTATAGGTTTGGAAGGGCCACCTAAGTTCTCTTATTACTAGCTTGCACAGGTTTTATGATGAAATAGTGTAAAATTTTATGGATTACTTTTTCTTCTTTAATCTGTAATGTGGTAATATATTTTCTGATGTTAAGCCCCTTTCAGAATAAACACTGCTTGTCATAAAGTATTATTTTTATACACTGCTAAATTTGACATTTTAGTATTTTAAGATTTTTGAAATGATGTTCATTAATAAGATTTATCTAAAATTTTCATTTCCTATAATGCCGTTAGCCAGTTAAAAAAATCCATATTTTACTAATGTTATAGAACAAGTTGCTAAGGTTTCACTCTTTCTGAATTCTCTGAAACAATTTGTATGATATAAGGATATCCATTTCCTGAATGTTTCCTAAAATTTGCTTGTGAAAATGCCCTAGATTTTTTTGAGTACCATTAGATTTCTACTTCTAATTCTTTAAAGTTTATGATTTGGATTCCTCTTTTTTCTTAGTCAAATTGATCATATTTTTCTAGAAAATGTCTAACTCATTTAAGTTTCCAAATGTATTAGGAGAAAATTGTTCATAGTATTAATTTACTAATTTTTTAATCTGTATGGTGTCTGGATTTATATCTTTTTATATTCTTATTATTCAGTTGTGATTTTTCTTATTATTTCTATAACAACTCTGTTAGAGATTTGTCTACTTTTAGCATTCTTTTCAAAAAACAATCTTTCGATTCTACTGAGTATTTTTTTGTTTTCTATTTTATTTACATCTGTGCTTATCTTTTTTTAATTTTTTCTTTCTACATTCTTTGTGTTTATTCTATTTACCTTTCTCTAGTTTCCTCTGCTGGACATTAAAATTATTTATTTTTAAACCTCCCTGCTTTGTAATGAATATATTTAAAATATAAATTTTCTTCTAAATTCTGATTGAGATGCATCATACAAGTTAATTTGCATTGTGATTTTCTCTTTAAGTCATGAGTTATTTCAGTTATTTTAAGTTTCATTATTATGGCTGTTTTCAAGTACTCTATCTCTATTTTTTGCTCTAACTAAATGGTTCCATTGTGGTCAGAGAAAAGTTCCAGATAATATTAATTTTTAAAAAATATGTTGAGATTTCTTTTGTGGTATATTGCACAATGAATTTTTGTAAAGAATCTATGTGACCTCAAATATAACGTGTAGTTCCTTTTTGTTGAGTATAGGGTTTCATAAAGAACTATCAAGTCAAGATTAATGTTTATCAAAATCTTTTCTACTTTTACTGCTAGTTTGTATACTTGATCCTTCTTTTTCAGATGGAGGTAAAGTTGTCATTACATCCTTGTAATTCTGTACATTTTTCCTTCATATAATTCAAGACAATGTTGTTGGGTACAAGTAAGTTCATGATTATTATATCTTAATTATTGATCATTCCTTTAAATTTATCCTTTTTAATACTTTTAGCCTCAAATTCTATTTTTCATATCAATATTGCTTTCTTTTGGTTAATATTTGTATATTTTAACTGTTATTTTCAACATTTCTATGTTGTTTAGATATGCTTTTTTAAAAGAATTTTTATTTTTAACTACTTTATTAATTTATTTTTGGCTGCATTGGGTCTTCGTTGCTTCGTGTGGGCTTTCTGTAGTTGTGGTGAGCGGGGGCTACTCTCCGTTGCGGTGTGCGGGCTTCTCATTGCGGTGGCTTCTCTTGTTGCAGAGCATGGGCTCTAGGCACGCAGGCTTCAGTAGTTGTGGTGCATGGGCTCAGTACTTGTGGCGCACGGGCTTAGTTGCTCCAGGGCATGTGGGATCTTTCTGGACCAGGGCTCGAACCCGTGCCCCCTGCATTGGCAGGCGGATTCTTAAGCACTGCACTACTGGGGAAGCCCTAGATATGTCTTTCATATACAACACTTAGGTGATTTTTGTTATTTAAAAATCCAATATGATAGTTTCTGCCTATTCGTAGGTTTATTCATCGTATTTCTTATTATAGGTTACATATTTGACCTATTTACCAATCTTATCTTTTGCTTTTACTTATCATTTTTTTCTCTGCTTTTCTTTTAAAAGCTTCCTTTGTGCCTCTGTTCTACTGTAAATATTTTGTATATTCTTTCCCCTATTTTAATGGTTTCTAAGCACACACACAGTCTGTTGACAGTTATCCTTACTTAATATATATTTGCAACATATATCTCTTTATATGATATATCCTTAATTCATAATACAGTATATATATATATATTTTTTTACATATAGCTTAACATACATATACTTTAACTGTCATTCAACATTACATTTCCTCCCTCTGCACCTAAAAGAACACAGCATCTTGTAAATACCTGCTGAACATCACCCACCCCATGTAATTTTTGTTTACATGTTTATCTTTTTAACAAAAATTGTTAATGTATATATACATTATATATGTATAATCAATAATTAATGTATAATCAATAACTAACATGTACCTGTATATGTATAATCAATAAGCAGTTTCATTTTTAACATAATATATCGAGTTCCAACCTCACCCTTGGTCTTGTATACCACGACTTCTGTCTGGGTTCACTTTTCTTCTCACTGATCTACAGCTTTTCATGATTCTCTTAGTGAGTGTCTATGGGTAGGAAACTGGAATAGCTTTCGTATGTCTGAAATGTCTTCCACCTGACTGCATCCTAGATGCTAGCTTACATGGCATAGGATTCTAGGTAATCAATATTTTCCCTTTGAAAATATCACTCCAGTGCCTCTGGCCTCTGTTTTTCCTGATGAGAAGTCTTCTGTCATCTGGCTGATATCTGTTGTATGTTGTCTTTTCTCAATTTTCTGGTAGCTTTTAGCATTTCTCTTTCCCCATGACACATGAAGCTGCTGTACCAGGTGTCATGGTGTGGACTCCCTGTCATTCAGGCTGCTTGATGCTTTGAGCACTTCTGATCTGAGGACTTACATATTTCTTCAGTGCCTAAATTTTCTCAGTTATTTTATCTTCAAGGTAGATTTGCTTCTATTCTCTCCCTTCCCTTTTTTTGGAAACCCACAATCTGGGGACCTTTTGTTGATATGTTTTCATCTCTTTGCTCTCTGCTAGATCCTGGAGAAATGATAGCATTTGATTCACCATTTTGCCTTCAACTGTATCTAGTCTAGAGTTTATCTTTTTTCTTTCTTTTTTCTTGTAATGTCAGTGTTATACTTTTGATTTCTTAAATTTCTAATTTTTTAATCATTTGTATTTGGTTTATGTATGACAGTTCTATTTCATAATTCCTTATTTTTAAAAAAATGTTTTATATTTACATAAGGAGTTTTTGTATTGAGTGTTGATTTTATTGTCTTTCTTTATCTTCAGATAGCTTCAGGTGCTTTGAATTTTTAATATCATCTCATTTTGAGCAGGAAGTTTTTGTTTTGATATTTTGTTTCATTTTATCCTTCCTTTCTCTTACCTACTTCTCTTTTTCTGGTGGTTTTTTGGATCCCCACCTGCTCTCCCAGGCAAGGCAGAACCAGTTCTTCTCTTGCTGCTTTGTGGGGTGCTACCCTCACTGCAGGGATCCCAGACTCGGCCTCTTTGCTAGCCAGGCATCTCGATGGTGCAGCCACTGTTCTCCCTAGGCCCATAGGAACGTACTGCTACATTCCGCCACCTTGCACACAGGGGCTGGAGCTATGGCGCTCCAGGCTCCGTCTCTCGGTTTGCATGTGTCCAGCGCCCTGCAGGAGCTGGCCTGCTGCAGGACTAGATGCACAGCAAGGCCGTTCTTCTTCTGCCCTTCAGAACCCTGGCTGGTCCTGCCTATTTGGTTTACTTGGCTTGTGTGCGTCTGTCAGTGCCTTGCGTCCGGCACAGAGGTGGATGCACCTAAGGACCACATGCCTTGTGCCATTCTGAACAGAATAGCAAGAGCCGAAACGTTGCCAGCATTAGGCCCTGTCCTTCGTCGAGGGGCATCCCAGGGAGCCACGCAGGCACTGAAGCCAGTAAAGCACACGGCTGCCCGCTGTCGACTGCAGTTGACAAGGCAAGTCAAGAGTGATGCCCCACGTGTCCTCACAGCCACTTCCACAAGGTTCCACCCAGGGAGCTTGTTTCAAATCAGTGCTGTAAAAGTGTGAGTTAATCCGCAACTTTCCAGCAGGGGTACCTTTTGATCATGGCCACCAGCACCTGGATTTCAGCAATTTATTTTCCTCCTCGTTGTCATTTGCTTTCTCCTCTATGACTTTTATTTCCTCATCTTGTTCCGTAATTACCTTGTAGTGCCGAGAGTTTTCTTTATACATCATCTCAACATTTCTTTTTATGGAGAGAGGCAAGTATAGAGAGAAACAGAAAAAGAGAACTCACTCCCCTTGGCAATATTAAGGGTTAAAATTTTTTTCTATGATTGAAGTTAATTCTTTGAGATATAATCAACATATGACATTATATTAGTTTCAGGTGTATGCATAATGATCTGATATTTGTGTATATTGCAAAATGATCACCTCAATAAGTCTATTCAGCATCCATCACGTCACATAGGCACAATTTTTTTCTTATGATGAGAATTTTTAAGATCTATTCTCTTAGCAACTTTCAAATATACAATACAGCACTATTAATGACAGTCACTATGCCATACATTATATTCCCATGACTGACATATTTAATAACTTGAAGTTTGTAGCTTTTGACCAACTTCACCCATTTTGACTACCCCCCACCCCGACTCCCTGTCTCTGGCAACCACCAATCTGTTCTCTGTAATTTTTTTTTGAAGATTCCACACATAAGTGTAATCACACAGTATTTGTCTTTCTCTGTCTGACTTACTTCACTTAAAAGTGTTTTAATAAAAACAAAAATTAAACCTGTAAGCCATTTTTCCAGTTTTCTCACATGTGGCTATACCGTCAGATTCACAGAAAATGCTGCGTTTCCTTATTCCCTTCCAGCCAAGCGCTGATGCTGCTGTGAGGTTCCCAGGCTGTGACATGGGAGCGGGACCCCAGGTTAAGGGACAATGGCTCTCAGAGTGCATGTTAAGACTGGAGGTGAGAGAACCCAATTAGCCTTGCCGAGCAGCACCCCAGCGGGCCGCCCCCCCCAACCGAGCTGGGAGTTCAGCAAGAAAATAATTAGATATTCAGGATGGGATGAAATGAAAGGCCCTTTTGAGGAAACAACACTGTTTCCCAGAGAATTAGGGAGACGCCTGTGGGAATAGCACTTTCAGAGGGGCCAGGGGACAGAGTGAATTTCAGAGGGTCTATGCATCTGGCTCTGAGGCCACTCCCCTCCCCTCCGAGCTGGCTCTCACAGCAAGGAGCCTTGGGACCTTGACAGCTTTCTGGAAAAACAAAACAGTTGCGTATGCAGAATTTCATTGGCATCACATCACTTTTGTACCAAGGAGGCCACGTAGTCCTCCAACACCCTGGGGGAATATTTTCATTGTGTTTGTCCTGCAGAAAAGTTGCGGATTAACTCACACTTTTCTAGGGCCAACTGTGAGCCAGAAACTCAATAAAAACAATGCATTCATCTTCCTCTGCCAGCAGGGGAGGTAAGAGAGGTGCCCACATTTTATAAAGGAGGAAACCACATCTCCTGGAAATTGGGAGTTGCTCAAAATTGACACAATGTGGAGGAAGGGCCCTGACCTTGGCCTCTGACCCCACAGGCTCTGCACCTCCCACCCCTATGCAACGCTACCTGCCAAAAATGTGCAATATTCCAAAGTTCTAAAACCGCCAGCTCAACCAATTACTCACAACCATCACTAAACACCACCATGACCAGTTGGGGTATAGATGTAGCACGTTGGTGCAATCATACCTCTGTTTCTCAAGGTTGTGTTGGGAAGTTCCTTTTACACCTTCCCCAGTGATTGGTTCCCAATTAATTTTCCCAAACACATCCTTCTCCCACGTCCACTTGCCCAGTGGCTCTGCCGATGACACTTTGATTTTTGCGGATTGAGACTCCTTTCGGACTTCTGGCCTCCAGAACTGTGAGATAATAAATTTGCCATTTTAAGCCACTTAGTTTGCTGTAACTTGTTACAGCAGCAGTGAGAGACTAATGCACTCACAGAAAGGGCCTAGCAGGGGCCGTGTCAAGAAAAAGCTTCCATGCGTGGCACTGGCATCTTTTCCATTACCACACCATTGTGGGCTTAGGTACCCAGAAGTCACAGTGGAGCATGCTTCAACATACTTAAATTTTAAGACCACCCCGATCCCAAAGCATATGTCAACCCCCTCCTCCATGCCATGCGGACTGACAAGGAAGACCCAGCAGTGCGCCTCCGGTGCACACTTACTGGTACTAACCTGCACCATACACATCATGGCCAAGGTGACAGCCTGTCCATCTTGCCTGTTCTGGGACTGGGCCTGCCCTGCCTCATCCTGAAGTTGTCTGTTGGCTTCTTGCTTCCCCTGCCGGAATAGGTGTCCTTGAAAAGTGGTCACACGTGTCTTATCATCCTTGTATCTTTCACAGATATTTGCAAACGGTGCTCAACAAGTAGTTTTGGAATGAATGAATCAGTGAAAAAAGTCTGTCAACCCATAGCCCATGGAATGGAACAAAACATCATTCGACGGGGATATATTTCACGGAGTCTTGAGACTTTACTGGGGGAAAGAGGAATGTTCGACGACTGGGAGACCTCTTTTCACCTACCACACGCCAGGCATCATGGCTATGCAGGGCTCTGCCACATCTGGACACCCTCTCATTATTCATACATGTAAAAATGGGGCAACATCCCAAATAAATTAGCCTATCGGTCATGAATTTTACTGTCGGAGGAGACCTCCAGTTCTCAAACACGTAAATGCACACAGAGAATAACACACGAGTTTCAATCACAGCAGAGTTGCCATCTGCCATCAGGCACCGTGCTATGCGCTTTACACGCATTATCGTGGATTCTCATAAACTTCTTTGAGGCAGGTTTCACTTTACTCCGATTTTGCCCATAAGGTAATTGTGCTGTAAGGCGATCGTGCGCCTTGCCCAGGTTATAAGGGACAACACTGAAGGTCTCCCAGCTCTGCCTGACTCCAGCCTCTCCCAATCTGCAGCCCGGTCTCTCCAGATCCACAGCATGGACTGTGTTTCCCTGGGTGCCAGAGGCATGTCCCTACCATCCATCTGCTGCTACCTTTTTGTTTTGTTTGTTTTGTTTTGTTTTGTTTTGTTTTTTGTGGTACGCGGGCCTCTCACTGTTGTGGCCTCTCCTGTTGCGGAGCACAGGCTCCGGACGCGCAGGCTCAGCGGCCATGGCTCACGGGCCCAGCCGCTCCGCGGCATGTGGGATCCTCCCGGACCGGGGCACGAACCCGTGTCCCCTGCATCGGCAGGCGGACTCTCAACCACTGCGCCACCAGGGAAACCCTGCTGGTACCTTTTTTTAATGCACTCTAAACCCAGTATTTTGAAACTATTTTGAATCCAAACATATGAGTATGCACTCCAAATTCAGTAATCGCCTTAGCAAATTCTGAGCTGACCATAGAGGTTTTTTAATGGATTCAAAACAGCAGCCCAGCTGACTTCAAAGATTTAGTTTGAATAACCATTTTATACAGAATTATTAAGTCAAGAAAATGAGAGTTATTAACTTTGCAAGATTCAATTTTTAACTTTACAAAATGAAGACTTTATTTTAAAAACCTGCTTTAAATATCAGAATTCTGTCCTGGTCCATTCAATTGCATGTATTATACTGATGTGATAACTTGTAGGAACAGACTGGATAGACTAGAAATTCCACAAAATAAAATTTAGTCTTTTGATACTCAAGCCGACTCAGTAAAACTAATAAACAAATATAACAATACATAGCTTTAGGGCAACTGGCAAATGAATCATTTGGGAAACCTGCAGAGTCGGAATCCTACCCCCATCTCAACTGTTAGAATGGTGATTTTGAGTAACCGTCTGATGACAGATAAACCTTGATTTTTAACCCCAGTTTCCCATTTACTTGTTATGTGAACTGGAACAATTAACAGCTTCCTGGAACCTTGTCTTTTCTCATGTGTAAAACCAGGAGGTCTGCTAAAATTGGTTGTTGTGTAGCTTAAGTAAATTAGTGTTTGTAAGCACCCTAGCACAGCACCAGGCCATCATAAGTCCTCAATGCCTGATGACCGAAATGAAAAAAAAAAAAAAAAATTCTTGGTCCGAAACAAACTCCAAATCAATCTGATATAAAATAGCAGAGGAAAAAAAAATCATTGTCATGCTCTCGGGATGAAAAGCCTCTGTAAAGCACAACCCGAAAAGTGAAGCAAAAACAGCACGTGTATAAGCACATTTAATTTGAGACTTCTGTGCATCTAAGGTTCTCCCCTGGGAGGTAGGATTGCATAGTGGTTAAACATCGCCCAGGTTAACATATTAGCTTCACCACCTCATAGCTGGGTGATCCAGGACAAGTTAATAATAAAACCTACTTCACAGGGCTGTGTGATGATTAACTAGTTAATATTTATAAAGAACTTAGAGCCTGGCATGTGGCAAGCAACAAAAAATATAGTTTCTTAGTATTAGCTATCAACAGAAATAAATTTAGAAGGCAAAAATGGACTAGAAAGAATACTTAAAATTCTGACAGACATGGGCTCATGATTCGTATGTTGGGGATTAGGGTAGAATGAGGTCATATGGGTGGGGCCCTAACCCAGTCTGACTGGTTTCCTTACGTGAAGAGGAGATTAGGACTCAGACACACACAGAGAATTGATGATGTGAGGACATGGGGAGAAGACAGCCGTCTACACGCCAAGGAGGCCTCAGGAGAAACTAACCCCACTGACACCTTGATCTCAGGCTTCCAGCCTCCAGCACTGTGAGAAAATAAACTTCTGTCATTTAAGGCACCCTATCTGTGGTACTTTGTGATAGCAGCCCTAGCAGGCTAATACACTTACTAAATAAAGATCTCTTAAAATCAGACCAAAAGGTAAATATTGCAAATACATGAACAAGCAATATACTAAAAAAAAAAAAAAAAAAAAAAAAGTGGTCAGCAAAAATAAAAAATATGTTAAACTTCACTAATTATCAAAGGAATGTGAATTCCAGCAATGAGCTACTAGTTATTAAGACTGAACAAGATGAAGAAGAAAGATAATCCCCAATATGGATCACCATTGAAAAGAGGGGGAAACTCTCTCATTGCTGGTGGGAAAATAAATTGGAAAAATCTTTCTGGAGGGCCATTCAGCAACAGTTATCAAAGTTTTATCTACAAAATGCATTCTATCCGATCTTGCAAGTTTTTTCTTTAGGTTTTTTCCCTAAGAATATAGTTGGACAGGTAAGCAATAATTTGTTCTGCTAATGTCCGACCAGGCACAGAGACCTCAGCTGCTGCTCTCTGCCATGGCCACGGTCCGAGAGCATGACAAGGACTACAGGGCAGCTGTGTACCCACTCTCTTTCTCACTGTTCTTCTAGTTTTGACTTATGGGCTTTTTTCTTCCTTAGACACAGACATGTGTCTCTGGGCTGGAAGTAGGAATGGCACCACCAAGCTTGCTCAGGATCACTATTGCTTAAACAGCTTTACTGAAGTATATTCAACAAACAAAGTGCAGTTGTTTACGGTATACTATTTGGTATATACACACCTGTAAAACCACCACCACAATCAAGATAGGAACATAGCCATCACCCCTCAAATGTTCCTTTGTGTCTCCTTGTGACCCCTCCTTCCAGCAGCCCCACCTCCAGCCCAGGCAGCCATGGATCTGGATTCTGTCACTACCCATTAGTGTGCATTTCCTAGAATTTTGTATGAGTGGAATCATTCAGTAAACACTCCATTTTGTCTGGCTGCTTTCACTCAGCGTAAGTATGGTGGGATTCTTCCACGCTGTAGCATGCATCAATAGTTCGTTCCTTTTTATTGCTGAGGATGTGTAGGTATGGATGTGCCACAATTTGTTTATCCATTCACCTGTTGATGGAATTTGTGTTGTTTGCAACTGGGAGCAATGACAAATAAAGCTATAATGAACATTGGTGTGCAAATCTTTATAAGGGCGTATGATTTCATTGATCCTGGGTAATCACCTGGAAGTGGAATGGTTGGCTCATAACTTTTTAATAAGCTGCTTCAAGACAGAGTAATCAAGATTGGATTTACCCTCCTACCTGAAACAGCTAAAAAAAAACTACAGAAAAAAATATATGAAACAATGGTTATCAAGACACTGGACATCAGTGACAAAGGCCAGTAATTGCTGAGAGACAGTAAATAAGGAGGATGAGCCCCGTGATGGCTCCAGTCACACTGTGTGAGGGTTTCCAGGCTACGGCACAGGAAAGGGAGACCCAGGCAGGCCCAGAAAATTCCTTAGCTAGAAGATGGCAATGAGGGTCTAGGGGTTCAGAAAGCTGGAGTTAGCAGGAGAGAGGGCCGGAGAGAAAGCTGCAGATATGCAAGGGTCCCCTTTGAGTAGATATCAGAATACAAATTGGAGAGTGCATGAAAGGAAACTCTGGAGGTCTGGGGAAATAGATGCAGAACAGACACACATGTTAGAATTAGCAGGTACAGACACTAAAAGAGTTATTTAAATAGAGATATGGAAGATACGTTTTTTAAAAAACCAATGAATTGAACTTCTAGAAGTGAAAACTATAATGTGTGAGATTGATACACACACACACACACACACACACACACACACACACACACACACACACTGGCTGGGGTTCAGGGAGGATTAGACACTGCAAAAGAAAGAATTAGTCAACTTGAGTATATAGACATACAAAATACTCAAAATGAAACACAAAGAGAAAAAAAAAGATTGTTTTAAATGAAAAGAACACCAGTGAGGTGTGGGACAATTTCAAGTGTCTCACAGGTAGTGACACCAATGAGAGTGAAGGGGGTAGGTCAGGAAAAATACTTGAGGAAATAATGTCCCCCAATTTCCCAATCTTCATGAAAACTTTAACCCCCAGATCCAAGCAAAAGCTGAGTGTCATAGACATGAAGAAAACTACACCAAAAAAACCAAATTGCCCAAAACCAGCAATAGAGAGAAAAATCTTTAAAGCACCTAGAGAGAAAAGACACTTTACAGGGAACAAAGATCAGGATACAGTGACACAAAAACAGATGAAACTGTGAGGAGAAGCAGACAGCACCACAATCTCAGAGGGCAACTTCCACCCCTGCCGGTGAGTGAGAGGACAGGCAGGCAGATGAGCAGGTGCAGGAGGCTGGACGACACCATCAGCCACCGTGACCCAGACGGCAACAGACTCTGCGCCCTTCACCAACTTAGACCACATTGTGGGAATAACCCAAGTCTCAGTAACTTTCAAGGATTCAGGCCATATGGTGTGTTCTCTGACCACCACAGAATAAAACTGGGCATCAGTAGTTACATGAGGACATATGGAAAATTCCCAAATGCATGAACACTAAAAGACGTGTTTCTAAATAACCCATGGATCAAAGAAGAAATCAAAAGGGAAAAGAGAAGGTATCTTGAACTGAATTAAAAATGAAAATATACCGTATCAAAATAGGTGGGGTGTCACTAAAGCAGTATTCTAAGAGACAATTACAGCACGAAAGGCCTACATTAGAAATGAAGTCAGGTCTCAAATCAACAACCTCAGCTTCTACCTAAGAACTATAAAAAGAACAAATTAAGCCTAATATAATCAGAAGAACGGAAATAATAAAGATCAAGGCAGAAATCAGTGCCTTGAAGAAAGAGAGAAAGTCAATGACATAAACGCAGGTTCTTTGAGAACAATAAAGTCTATGATCAACCTCTAGCCAGACTGAGGAGAAGAAAAAGAGGCCACAAATGACAAATAACCACCACAGAACATAATTTTGCCTAACCATCCCATTTCTGGACTCTTGTTTATCATTCTGGGGAGACACAAAAAGTACAAACAGGAGAGCCAAAAATGGTCACACCAAGCAGATGAAGCAACTCAAAGAAATGTCAAATGGGGATCTTGAGAAGGGGCACTGTCATATGGGATGGGGGGCAATGTCATGTGGGGACTGTGGAGAACGAAGGAATACAGGAGCGGTAGAGGCAGAGGCGTTAATATATGGGCTGCCACACGTGACTGTCTTCCTTGACATGGCGTGATATGGAGGCTGGGACCTGGACCTCCTTCCTCCTAACCTCAGTGGCAACTCTGATCTTGAACTAGATCCACTTGGAATGCAAGGCTAGACTGCT